AAAAAAAAAAGACATACACCTTTTACTCTTATCAAAAGGTATTCTTCATCAGTGAAAATATTTCTGGTAATTTCAAGGGCTTCTGGTAATGTACTGTATGCAGAAGGAAGAAAATGTCAGTAGAATTAGCACCGAATATCTAGATTCTGGGTAGTAATCCTCTGGGTAATACTTATTCCATGAATGTTGTTTCCTATGCAAGTTTTTATTTCAAAATCAACTTACTCTGTATTCTTGGGCTGTAAGGATCTTCTATTTTAAAAGCAGGATCTAAAGCACGAAATATCACCTAAAAAAATACATATAAGAGTGGTTGGTATTTCTACAAGGATCAAAAGGTAGACTTACAAGTAGGAAGTAAAACAAAGAAGCAAACCCACCTCTCCTTCCGTTGAGGGCTCAATGTCAGAGTATCGGGAGTCACAGATGATGTCGTCAACTTTCTTCATGGGGCCGGTGCAGATGCCGGGGAAAGAGCTCTCACAGTCATAGGCGAAATATCTGTACACGCCCCAGGTTTTCCCAAAGTCAGAGGACCGCTCGATCAGCATTGCAGCTGGACGGAAAGTCTGTAAGTAGGGAGCAAAAGTCTCGTTTGATTTGCATTTTTTAAAATCACTGATGAAAATGTCACTATGTGCCGCAACCCGACTGCATGTGGTTGGTATCTCGGGCTGTGGCTGGATTTTAAATACTTCAAGCTGTTCCATGGAGCCTCTTTTTGCAAGGAAAGTGTCTACTCTCTAAATTTTGTACTTTTCCCCATCCCACTAGATCAGCAGGGTGTTTGTCTTTAGGAGCTGACTATAAACAGTCCCTCACAGCAAACAAACTGTGGTATGCTTAGCCACCCAGCCCAAAATGTGAGTGTGTTTCGGTGCTTATTTTTTCCTTTCTTGGTGTAATTACTCAGTGCTGTGGGTCTGGTCTACTCTGCCAGCCACATGACAGTTGTACATCTGCTACAGAGTTCAACATGGTACCGATAGGGGCACCAAAAATTTACAATACAATGTGGCTCACAACACAGCAGTCACTCAAGAGCGTGATCTGAGAAAAAGAAGAAGTACTAACTCAACAAACTGGGGAAGCCGGCAATGCCTCTGGCTAGG